CATTAGGCCTTAAGTATAAGCCGTATGGCTATGGGCCTTATGGTCAGTAATACTGAGGTGAATCCACATATAATGGCCTACTTTTATGCAAGTAGGTCAAGGTCAAGGTCGCTAATGGCCAAACGGGCTCAAAAAAGGTTTGTTTCCGAGATCTCAAAAACCGGAAGTCTCAGAGCCCCGACCATAGTGGCAAATGATGCCTTATATATTTATCTAAGGTTAGTCGTACTTTGGTAGCGACTGCTTAATCACTTTTTTCAATACAGATTTTTAAATATTTATGACATTGCAGAAATCTTGAGTTTGGCAATTTCTCCATGAAACACTGGTTTTTGGTCATAGCATGCTATAGTAAACTACCCCAAACATATACCCAAAACCCCCAAATCAAATGTCAAATTTGACCTTGACCCTCATTTTCAAGGTCATTTGGCTATTTCATGGAGAAATATTGAAGTGGGCTAAAGGTGATGTTTTGTTGACCCCCCTCCCCCAATTCGCACATGCTCTTTCAGAATATTGGGTCAAATTTAACCCATGACCTTCACATGGCCTTGTAAGAGCATTTCCACGCCTATTTTGCAGGGGAATCCTCCGCCACTGGCTTCAGCCAGTTGCAGTCTAGTTTTACTTGTTATTAGGATTCCCCATAGGGGAATACTATTGTTTTTGGTATTATTATTATTATTATTATTATTATTATTATTATTATTATTATTAGGATTCCCCATAGGGGAATACTATTGTTTCTGGTAGTATTATTATTATCATTAGGATTCCCCATAGGGGAATACTATTGTTTCTGGTAGTATTATTAGGATTCCCCATAGGGGAATACTATTGTTTTTGGTATTATTAATATAGTTATTATTCTTTCCGCGCGTTTTTTTTCGCAAAATATCTGAAATAATTATCATAGGTAGCCTATGGCAAGAATATGCCACAGACCCAGTTTCAGTGACCTTGACCTACTTTTCAAGGTCACAGGGGCTTTTAAAGGCAAAACTTGTAAAATTTGAAATTGACATTAGGCCTTAAGTATAAGCCGTATGGCTATGGGCCTTATGGTCAGTAATACTGAGGTGAATCCACATATAATGGCCTACTTTTATGCAAGTAGGTCAAGGTCAAGGTCGCTAATGGCCAAACGGGCTCAAAAAAGGTTTGTTTCCGAGATCTCAAAAACCGGAAGTCTCAGAGCCCCGACCATAGTGGCAAATGATGCCTTATATATTTATCTAAGGTTAGTCGTACTTTGGTAGCGACTGCTTAATCACTTTTTTCAATACAGATTTTTAAATATTTATGACATTGCAGAAATCTTGAGTTTGGCAGTTTCTCCATGAAACACTGGTTTTTGGTCATAGCATGCTATAGTAAACTACCCCAAACATATACCCCAAACCCCCAAATCAAATGTCAAATTTGACCTTGACCCTCATTTTCAAGGTCATT